AAAAAAATGAATTGTGTTATGAACTTGTTGAGTCAGGGAATGTTCAGGAAGCAGTTGCTCCAGGGAAAGCTATGAATTATGTATCACTCAGGGACCCAACAAGAAGGAGAAGGTCTATTCCAATAAATGGAAAAAAAGTTAATGAAGTAACTATTTACAGAGATCTGGGAAGAGTAAAGGAAGCCATGAAGAGATGTTGAATATCCAGGAACTAGCAACAGTGGAAAGCCCTTACCACCTCTGGGTCTAAAGGGACAAGAAGAAGAAACAGTGTAGACAGAGCCCATTGGGAGCTGGAGTTGTGGACAAGGGTCCTGACATGGCTTCCACTGAAGAGAGAAATGACCACTGGTGGATCAGAAGGGAACAAGAAGAAATACTCAGCCACTCTCTCCTACAACTTTCCTATTCCCAGACTCAGATGGCACAAAAGTAGATGAGAACTGTGGGGACAGTAGTGGGCTGCAGGGGGAGTCCAGAATATGACCTGGGGCACTAGAGATGGACAGCTGAGGCTTTTGGCAGGGAGCTTATATCTACATATGAAGAAGTTGCACTCTACTTCCATTTCTAACTAAAGAAGGGGGCACAGTGGCACATGCCTATAATCTCAGCTCCTCAGGAGGCTGAGACAGGAGGATGGCAAGTTTGAGGCCAGCCTTAGCAATTCAGCAAAACCTTGTCTCAAAATAAAAAAGGCTGGAAATGTAATTCAGTGGTTCAGCACGCCTAGGTTCAATCCCTAGTACTACAAAAATAAAATAAAATAAAATTTTATTAATTAAAATAAACGACAAGATTACCTACTAGGGATCAGAGGAAGAGAGGCTGGATGGAAGCTTGAAGGCATTTGCCAACTTTGAAAAAACAGCTGAGAGGGGAAAGAAAAGGGACCTATGCAAGATACAGGACCACAAAGAGATGCTGAGAACCTAATCAGAGTGGCACAATTAAGGATGAAAGACTCAGGGACTCTCTAGGAGTGAGGATATCCTGTCCTGAGTAATATGCTAGTAAGATCAGTACAATGTGGGTAAGACCCAAAGTGAAAATCAACTCATTCCACTTCCAGACTACAGGCTGTGCTGTTATGTAAGATGAAAAAATGTCTATGGAAAGAAGGTATACAGGAAAAAAAAAAGAGAGAAAGGGACTGTTCAAAAAGGCTATCAGCAACCATCGATGTGCAAAGAGCACCAGGAGGCAAACACTGGCAGGGCCTCGTTATAGAACTGTGCTGG